AACAGGCAGTGATTAATGTTAATATCTATGTTCTGTGTAAGAAGGCACCAGGGCAAGTTTACAGAGTTCCTTTCTCAGGTTAAAATAATCCTTGTAAGCATATGCTGATGATTATTATTTACTACTGGGAGCATACTGCCTATCCTTTTTAAGGCACAGTTGGGCTGGAAACTCCAGTTGGTCATTTTCTCAGCAGTGTTATTCAGAATCTTATTCCCATTTTTTTTGTTGCAGTGTCTGCCTTCCTTCTCTTGTCTTCTCTCACTTATTCCCTCACCTCCACAGGACAGAAGATGCATATAATGTCCAGCCTCCTCTCTCTGCAGAGGCAAGCGTATCATACTCAAGATGCTTCCTCTTAAAAGGATTAAAATCAATTCTGAATGCTACCATCACAATCTTTTCAAGTGTGGTTGTGGAGCAAAGAGGACAGGATAGCAGGAAGACCCCTCCCTAAACCTGCATGCATAGTTGAGACCCCCTAGCTCAGGGGTAGGCAACCTTGGCTCTTTTATGACTCGTGGACTTCAACGAATCATAAAAATTGAAGTCCATGAGTCATAAAAGAGCCTCATAAAAGAGCCAAGGTTGCCTACCCCTGCCCTAGCTCTATATCTCTATTGAAAACAGAACAAACAGGAAATTCTTTGTTTTTCCCCTGAAGAATGTAAATGTAAGCACTTTAAAAGCTCTTTAAAGACACTATTATCTCACCCCTGTATCTGAAGGCAAAAGACCTCTTATCAGTCACTGGAGGGCACCCATTCAGACCAGAAAAGAGTTAACAATATCAAGTCTGTTTATCCAGATCTATTCCTATCCCCCAAACTGAGAGAGATTTTCAATATATACTGTTTACAACAGATTCATGAATCCTGTGTTAATCTGCAATCTTATTATATGAGCCTACTCATATAGTATAGTATGAATCCATGTTTAGTTAGAGAAAGTCTTTCATAACAAATACCCTTGGAATGGAAATATTCTTTTTCCTGAAAATGGGATGGGGGGAGGAGAGACAGCATGTGACCTGTGAGCCAAAAGTATCTCTAAGCTGTTGTGACACCATGGTCTGACAATATTGCTATGATGTTTAGCAATGCAAATTGCCAGATAGCAGCAGCATTTCTCACTATTGAACACACCCATAAAACTGAACTCCCTCACCTCCGAATAGGACACCACCTATCTCCTGTCTCCAACACAGCCCTTGCACAGTTCCAAGAAGATTCCACATCCATTTGCACTCTGAGTCAACTGACCCTGGGGGCACAGATAAACCCCCAAATGGCCTCAGTGACTCTCACAGAGCTAAAGGCCAACCCTCAGAATGCTAACAACCAGTTGACTGCAAAGAATATACATCAATCCATTCTCCATTATTCAATCAGAACTGAAGAAGCTTCTTGGATAAGAACTGAAACGTTTTCAAGAAAAAACTAAGAAAGTCCAGTTGCCTTTTGAAAAGCACTTTTGGGACAATCATGATTGAGAATCTCTATAAACAACTCTGCCAAAAATTCAGAGAAATATACTGAACAAATTGGCCGTCCAGTATCTTTATTTTGCTAGTGTTCTTCTCTATAACATCTGCAGGCAATCTAGTATTTTCCAAATATATTGGACTAAAACACTTAGCAGCATGATTGAGCATACCCAATGGCTGGCAATTATAAAAGTTTTAAGATTTCTGGAGGGAATTCTGAAATGTGACATGTTTGAGCATCATCCTTTCTGTCAATGGTAAACTTCCGTTTTCAAAAATCTCAACCCAGTCTCTCAACTATGGTTGGTCTGCAACCAATTCCCTATCTCACAAAAGAATTTAGACATCCATTAAAGGCATACAAGTTTCAGAAGCAGCCAGGTCTGAACCTGTACCAGGTCTGTACCACGATAGGAATCATATCTATGTATGCCTTGAATTTTGTGGGAAAAAATAAATATGTATCGAAGTCTGCATAATTCTGATGCAGGAAGAAGATAAATAGGTTGTCAGTGGGAAATGCGTGGCTTTCTAGAAATACAAATCCCAGTTTCCTGCATTACTGACCTTGATAGCTTAATGTTACTGTTCATCAATATCTAAAGGGTGAGAGGTCCTTCATCCTGGAATACACTACTAGTTCCCAAATAATCTGATTAGAAATAGTGACTTGCTTATTCTATAACTGTGGGTAATTCATACTTCAACCCAATTTAAGATCCCCATGTTATTTAATAATGACTTTGTGTAAATCCCATCTGTCTATTGGATATATAACAACATTGTAACAGGCAGGACAGAGGCCAGGAAGGGGCATGGGGTCAGTTTATGATTAGAATCAGACTGATATATCAAAAAAAAGCAGACACAAAAATCCTGGTTATCTTCAAAACTGGCTTACCGGTTTCTGAAGCATTAATCAGAGTACACTTCAAAGGAAATTTAGTTAGCATAATCCTGGGCAATGAATCTACTACCATTCAATGTTATGAAGACATACATTAAGATAGCCACCACAATGCTTTTTAATACAGAAATTCAAAAGAACTTCAGAGAACTCATGAAGTAGAAACAATGAGTTGATAAACAGTGTCAAAGAGAGTTCAAATGGGTTATGTTAAGAAACCACAGCCTCAGCAACAACCCACACCAAAGTCTCAACCAGACTTCTCCAGTTACCTTCTGCACAGCAGTGCTAAGTTTAGAGTAAATTGCCATATTGACTTGAATTTATGAGAAAATTTATCATTTCCCGATAAAAGAATTGGAGATGGCAACTTTTATCCAGATGAACGTCTACTGAAATTATATGTAAATAAGCTAAACAGTAGTGATAAATAATTTATGGAACTTTCTTCTCAACTTATCAATTATTGTCAGCACAGTTAAGGCAGGGATGTCAAACTGGTGGTCCACAGGCCTAATGCGTCACACGCAGGCCACGCCTACCTCAGCTCTGCAAAGGCAAAAAAAATCACGATATGTCATGTGACATGATCGAGTTTGAATCCCAGGAGTTAAGGCATTCTCTCAAAAGATTACAGGAAGAAACTTTCAAGTCAAACTTCCAGAACCAGAAAGTACAATATGAAGAGACTGACCTAGCTTTGGTGGCTTACATAAAATTATTATACCGCATCTCCTAATTTGGGAATTTGTCTTGAACTCCCAATATAAAACATAAAAAATAATGAACAAAAATGCAACCAAAATATCTCAGACTCCATCTTAAAAAGAAACAAAATGAATTTCTTTCAAATGTTAGTCAGTTTTTCAATTTAACAGAGCAAAAAGCCTAGTAATTAGAGGTGATATAATTGTAACAGATGCCATCTAGAAAATGTGAAGTTCAAAACGATAATTCTGCTCAATGCTTTTATTACGGTAGTTCCTGGATTGGCAGGCATCCAACTGCTACAACTTTCCGGAGATCCTGGGGTGGTGAAAATGACACCAAATGGATTTTTTTTCCCTTTTCGCCAGTGATGCAACTATGAAAGACAAAATGACTGACAAGAAGGGTTTTCTAATAAGATATTTGTTAATTAGTGAGAAATAAACTCCTGATTCACACTGGAAAATGGATAGGTGAAATAAAAAGGGAAGCGCAAATTCAGATCCTGCTCTGTTCAGCTGTTGAGTCACCTGCACTGTTTTTCAATAACTCAAACACACATTTAAACATAATAAATCCAGTGGGACATAATCTCCAAGTAAACATGCCTGGGATCAAGCTTCCCATCTTGTTTATCTCACTATGTTCAGTCTTAAAACTTTTTACTAGCTATATTTACGGCAATTCAGTGGAACCAACTCCTAAGAAAGTATTACTGATATTGGTTTTGTATTACATAATATTTTGAATAACTACCATATAATATAGTATCAATAAAAGATTAATAAATTCCTTCTACTTTTATCACCATTAGATAAGCTTTAGATAAGTGACAAAGATGAAATTCCAAAATACAATATTTCTGAATTCATTAAGGAAGAATAGTTATAGTTTTAATTTCTTCAGTTGATGTCATTCTTTTCTAGAAAAAAAAGAGGAATGAAGGAGTATTCTAGTTATCTAAAACCTAAAAGCCGTCGTCTCCTACAAAACTGGCAGTCAGCAATGCAACATACACCAAATTAATGAAAAACGAAATTAATGAAAGGCAAAACTCTTCTTATCTCACGCAACTCTCTTTAAGCTGACAAATCTTAGGTAGTACTGTCTCTTATAGGAGATGAATAGAAGGCTAGAAATGAAAGACAACATGTGGATTTCCCATCACATTCCATTAACTTAGAACTGCAATAAGAAAAAAAAAATTTTTTTTTAAATGAAAGCATTCCTAATAACACAGCTAATCATTGTTTCTCAGAATTCAAAGAAGCTTCAACTAGTTACACAGCTGCAATCAAAGCCACACACCCAACCCAACGTATTTCTGGAAGCAATATTTGCATCAGCATTCTTGAACTAACTCCTCCAAAGACAGCTTTTCCCCTAAAGCAGTGTTTCCCAAACTTGACAATTTTAAGGCATGTGGACTTCAACTCCCAGAATTCCACAGCCAGCAATGCTGGCTGTGGAATTCTGGGAGTTGAAGTCCACATGCCTTAAAATTGTCAAGTTTGGGAAACACTGCCCTAAAGTCCAGGCCTTTTATAGATGCAACACTGGAGAAGAAACTTAGGCGAATTCATTGAATGATCAGAATTAGGTGCAATAAAAAGCTTAAGTTCGATGCCAGGAGGCATCCCAGTTCAACCTCTCACGCAATCACTGGGTGGCTTTTGGCAAGCTACGATCTGTTTGTTTGTTTGTTTTCCTTAGGAACTAGGGAGAGAACTGTCACTCCGCAAAGCGTTCGCAGGACACGTCTGGGTAAATGCCTGCTCAACCCATTCAAGTCCCTTTATAGCCCTAGAAGGACGCCTCCACCCTGTTTGCTCTGGAAAAAAGCCCCAAGGCCATTCTCTCTCCCCACCCCTCACCCCGGCCGTTCACCCCAGCGCCTACCTTTCAATTCCCCGTAGTCCGAGAAGGCTCCGTTGCTCCGGGGGGCCGAGTGGCTCTTCTGCAGCATCCGCATCCGGACTTGCTCCTGCACCCGGGCGTTCTTCAACAGCTCGGCGTCCTGCGCCTCCTTGCCCTTCCTGTCGAGCTGCTGGTCCGAGGGCAGCGCCAAGGAGCACACGCCGTTCTCCGGCTGCAGAGCCGACAAGAAGAAATTATTTTCCTGCATGGTGGCAGCAGCCGAGCAAGGGGTACATTAAAACAGGCCGACTTTTTTTTTTTTTTCTGCCTCAGGCTTCGTCTGACCCAGCGAGAAATTTCCAAGGGCGGGAAAGAAAATAATAACTAAAAAAAAAAGTTCTGATAACCCCGCGGCTCCTCTTCTCCGAGCCCGAGCGGCGCTTCGACACTCCGAAAAGGCGCCAACTTGTCCACAGGTGGCTCCGGCAGGCCTTTCGCTCTACTTCGGTTCCTCAGCTCAAGAAAGTTGCTTCACTCGGGGCGCGCGCGCGCTCACAACCAGACTCCTATAACCTCCCCGGTCCCGCGCCATCCCCGTCTCCCCCCCCCCGCCCCGCCAGCCTTGTTTTGGTTTCCTGGGGCTCTCCTTGCCCAGGCCTCCTCCCCCCTCTTACTTGTAACACACCTACGCGGCCACACCCCTTTCCCTAGCAACTGACAGCAAGCAAGGAAGGCGGGCTTTAAGGCAGAGCTGGCCAGCCGGTTCCACCTTAAAGCAGGTGAGGGGTTTGGCGAGCAGCGAAATTTCAGATAGAATTCCAAGGGTGCCGAGAGGGCCCTGCCCTGGCCCTCGTCAGCTCCGCAAACCAGCAGAAGCGGTTATGGGTGCGGTGAGGCCTCCGAGCCTTGAGGGGGTGGATGGGGTACCATCTCCTTATCTTCCCTCCTCCTCCTCCTCCTCTCTGTTGGGAATTAAAGTTACAAATTGCCCTGGTCCGGCCAGGGGAACTGCCTTGACTCCCTGGGGCGGACAGGCTGGAGAGAAAGGAAGGAGGAACGCGCCGGGCCGCCCCGCTTCGGCCGAGCCCAGCTTTTTGTTCCTCTCGCATTGCAAAAAGTATGCGGTCGTGGAGGCCGAAGCGAGGAGGATTGGCGCCCCACCCGTGGAAGGTCAAAGTCCCGGACTGCTTTCTCCGTTCTTCCCACCCAGAAGCCTGGGAGGCGCTACGCCTTGCCAACTGGGCACATGCAGATCAGCAATTGCTAGGGGCGTCTCGCTTCCGATAGCTGGACATAAATGAAGTTTCTAGTGGAGCAAAAAGCAGGGAAGGTTATAACAGCCGGTTATTTTTCCCTTTTGCAAAAGTATCTGGTGGGAGTTAACGAACGCAGACATCAGCGTGGTGGCAGCTGCTGGCTTGGAAGCTTCCCGCAAGGGGTTCCCATATGTACCGCTCTGCTGTGTTTTTGTTTACTTTGGAAGGTGTGCAACGATTTAAACTTGCCCAGTTTCAGAATAAGCAGAGAGAATTTCACCTGTCTACAGGGGACACCCCTAGGGCAGAGTCGACATTATCTTCCCTGCTTGCTTCACCACACATACACATACACACACACACACACCTCTTTGTTCTTACTTACTACTAACTAGTCAATTATTTCCTTACAGTGTTGTTGCTTACACACATTTCAGTTTGTGAATTTTTGTGTGCAAGTATTTTTTCCTCCACCTGGTAACCTTTTCCTGTTGCTGGACTCTGCAAAATGTCCTTTTATGTTTGTCTCCAGTCTTAACTGAAAGACAGGAAAAATGCATAAACAGCCCATGATTGAGGAGCATATACAGAGTGCTGTACAGAGTGCTTGCACCTTCCCCACAAACAAGACTTCCCCAAATCAAATTTGAGGATGGGACTTCGTAAAATGACCGTCTCATTTTGTCACCAGTCATATTGTTGTTACCTTTTTCTGGGATAGTTTTTTTTTTTAAATTCCCAGGCTGGCTTCCAACTACTATATGGGTACCTAGAATTATTATACTCTATAGTAAGTTCTAGAATCTGGATGGCAGCAAATGGTCCTACACCTAACGCTTTTGTCTCATTCCATCAAACTTGTCTTTGATTAGGTTATATCTATCCAGTAAGAAATATTTACATATTAAGAAAGTTAAATGATATTAAAATAGCTCAGATATTTCCAGTCTGCAAAGACATGACTGGAAGCAATGCCCCTTCAGGAGGGATGGAACCATGGAGTGAGACTTTAGGAATGATCATATTCCAGATACCATTAATAAAATTTGACTACAGTATTAGATAGGATACGAGGCATCCTTCTTGCATATTACTAATTTGGTTCATTATTGAAACAACCATTATTTCTGCAAATGTGCCAGCCTGCGGCTTGCATGGAACAATAATTATTATATATACCATGTTCATAGTATTGTTTGTATGGTATCTAGCCAAATAATAATTAACTAGAATTTATGAAGTGCTGTCAGATGTCCAGACAAAAGACTCTCTAGAAGTATGTAGCCTTGATGATAGTAATAGCTAGGCCCAACCCTGCTTAGCTTTATGAATTCCGCACAGCACAGCACAGCAAAATGCTGAGTATCCAATTATTAAACATTTACTGATTAAAATATGAACAATTCCCTTGGATAAGAAAACATTCTCAAAGGAAGATGACCTTGTTAAAAAAAAGTGACCTTTTGTTGTGGGAAACAGGCCCCAAATGTGCAGAAATTAAGTCAGAAGTTGGGATAATGTTCAGCATTTGCCAGAACTATATTCAAATCTTGCTGAATATAGCCTCCCCCTCCCCCACACACTTCACACTATTCTCAGAATATTCATATTATTCTCATTACAGTATACTATTTCTTTTTAGGATAAACAGAATTATAAGTAAGAGTAAGTTAATAGGGCATGCAGTTAAAAAATACACCAACATGGAAATAAAACTGCATTTTGCTATCCTTACACGTTAAAAGTGTATACGGTATATAACTTGCAATTATTTCAATGTATTCTATCAAACATAAAATACCATAGCCTCAGATACATTAATTTTTAGATTCATGCTTTTCATTGCATTATGTAATGTGTCTAAAATTTGTGGCACATCATATGCATTCTCAGCCAACCACTTGAGATTGGCTACTTACATGTCCTTAGGAATGCACCATTGATGTCAGCATAAGCATTCCTTGGAGAAGGTCGCTAGCAATTGCAGAGGACTATGAAGGATATGGATTATCTAGACATGGTTGAAAGCATTCTCCAAGGGAGTTCTTCTCCTATGGAAAGCTGCTCCTTAAAATGAAGATAACCTTAATATTGCATGACTCTCCAGAGATTGGTAAAAAACAATATTTTTTAGAAAGCCTTTGGGGACTGATTGTGGATACATCATTACCTTTGCTACTTGAGTTTCAGTTAATGAATATAACCTGTATCTCTCTATATATAGAGAGAGGGGGGGAGGGAGGGAGGGAGGGAGGGGGAGAGAGAGAGAGAGAGAGAGAGAGAGAGAGAGAGATTAAAACAACCAAGGACATTATATACTGCTCAAAAAAATAAAGGGAACACATCCTATAGGATTTCTTATAGGATGTGTTCCCTTTATTTTTTTTGAGCACTATATATCCTCATCATACTCTCTGCTCCGTGTTGAATCTTTCACGTGGTATTCTATTTATGCCCACTCTGTATATGCTTCCATCATATACGTTGTTTCATTCAGCAAAAAAAACCCTTCAATTCCATATTTGTACAAAACATCTTATAATTCAAGCTTCTTTGTTTTATCATATGCGTTCTCCAAATCAAATATACAAGTAGTCAATTTATGACCATAATGGAGCCTGACTATTATAGTCATAAATCATGACAGTCCTGAAGCAGGTTATCACACCTGATTTTATCTCTCTCTTTTTTTTTTTGCAGTAGTCATTAAGCAAATCCATTGTTTGCTATGAGGTGATTTGCTGACAACTAGAAATAAACACTGGTTTTTGGCAAAAATGTGGTAAATTTGTGGCCATGTGACCATGGGATGCTGCTGCAAACCGCCCTAAAGATGGGCTGGTTAATGAGTGCCTGAAATACAATTATGTGATGGGCAGGTGGTGGCCATCAGAAGTTCAGAAATGGACCATACTTTTTGATGTGTCTTGTAACTTTAAACAGTTGCTAAACCAGGATGTTGAGGAATACCTGTATACTTTCTGACATTCACATGTTTCTAGGTGCCATGCTGGAGAGCAAAAATATGCCCACAAAACACCACACTGTACTCTCCAAATTCTGCTCATTGTCATCATTCCTATATTTCAGTCAGAATTTTGCCAAATGCCTTCCTGGGGAATGCAGAATTTTGCATTCACTCCTACTACTTTCTCTTTGTGCAAGGAAACAGTTGTCAGGCATGGATGCAATCTCTACAAGTTAAATAAGTCACATAACTATTACATAAATAAACCGCAACCATATTTTAATATTTCTCCAGAAAAACATCTATTCCTGTTGTTTTATCATTTGAAAGCATTCTTACAACATTTATGACTTCTTCATCAGTTTTTTTCATAAGTTCTAGTATTTATAGTACTTCATTCAAGCCCACTCTTCAACACATCACATTTTTCCCATATAAAACTGTAATATACCAGCATTCCCACACTTCAGTTCCATCCCAATTCACAGTTATTTTTAATTACATGAACTCTGCTGGAGGCTTTTTTTTTTTGCTATCTTCACAGACTTTCAAAATAATATAAATTATTTAACCATATAGTATTTTTACTTATACCAAAATTGTTGTGCATTTTTTCTCCTTCCCTAACCATCCCTTGCTTTGATTATATTTTTGCAACCATATTTTGTCTCTTTAGACATTATTCAGTATATTTTTCTCACCCTTATTTTTTGCAACATATTTTAATTCTTACCCATAGTAGTGGCTATATCTTTCTATCTCCATCTCCATCCCTATACTTTATCCCCAGGAATGTTGTAAGAATCATCATTTCCACAGGCATTATTTTTCATATTTAGTGTAACTCTACACATTTCTATAATATAAATCTCTACTCCAAATAGCATTCACATCCTACTTCCTTTCATCTAGTTTCCATTCATTCTGTTGGGGAATTAAACTACAAGTTTAATAGAGGACTCTATTTTTATCTAGATAGAGGATTTACACTTTATCTTCTTTCAATAG